GAGATAAACTGTCCGCAATTTGAGAAAACATTATTTTGAGAAAAACGCGTTTAAACTTATATGTATCGTTAGAGGCCATCCATAAATTACCTAAAATTCTTTTGCAAATTGAAACCCCACCAATTTTTTTCTTTCAGACACTGTTACATACATTAGCACCAATGTTTCTACTGGTCGTAATAAAAAGCTGGACCCCCTTACTTAATTTGTCAATGACTTTTTACATTAATTGAATAATTTTTTAAAAATTTACTTTTATTTTTTACAATTGGTTATAAATACTTTAGGAGGTGTTTTCTGAAGTCATAAGGAGTTAAAAAATACAATAAAAGAAAATAAAATGTTTTAAAATTCTAAAGTAGTACCTTAAGATTGAAATTTTTTTTATTACCATAGTAACGGTTGTTATGGCAACCATTAACATAGCAACGGATGCCATGGCAAAGGTTATGTCAACCATTAACATAGCAGCAATTAACATGGCAACGGTTGTTATGTTGTCTTAAGACTTAAAACTTAAGACGTAAGAACTACGGACGGACATCGAAGTCTCGCTATAAGGGTTTTGGCCCTTGTCCACGAAACCCTAAAAAGACAATAAGAAACATTTTAACTGTTTTTTAGTAAATAAATTTAATCATTTCAATACTAATAGATTATATTATATTACAGGTGTTGATTAATCATTCTCAATTAATGGATTTGAACTTGAACCACATAGATCAGGTAAAATAAAGTGTTTTAAAATGAACTATTCTAATTATGTTGAGATAAAATGTGGACGTCCGCATGAAAAGGGACCACTTTATCAGGTCTAGATTCTGAGATATTCACAAATTTTTTTTAAATACTTGTTTCTTAATCTATGAGGTTTTATACATCAAATTATGCAGTTTTCATAAATTTATTGATGCTGTGACGATGTGAATTGTCGTTCTTTATTTTGTCGAAATTCTGAATCGTCATGTCATCTGTCGGAATTATCCCTGAACCGTGATCGTTAATTGGTATGGTAATTTAGAAAGTCGGAACTGCCGTGTGACCCACTATCAGTGGTGAATGTGTGTCGCGCGGCTAGTTAGTAGGAGAGAAAGTGCTAGAGGGCAGAGCCGCTGATGGTTAGAAAAAGACAGAGAAAGGGGATCCAGTGGAACGAGAGAGAAGAAGAGTTGAAGAAGACGAGCACGTGTGGAGAAAAGCCAGAAACAGGTGTCATTAGTTTTCGCCGACATTTTGGCAGTCAGTTGATCTACGACGTGTGTAGTCAGTTGTTCTATGAGATGTGTAGAGAGAAAGCGCGTAATAGTTTTGTAAAGTTTTGAGTGTTGTGAGAAAAAGGGAGTTTTTGTGTCGAGTAAAGAACAAATAAAGAGTGTAAATAATAGTGAAGTTGTTTTCTTTGGATTATTCCTCATTTATCCCTGAGGAAAACAGCCGCCGAGAAGCCAGTGAAAGAGAGATTGAGAAACATCGCTGGGTGAGTCAGTATCGAGCCAGTGTTGTGCCAGTCGTGTCTCGTCGTTGGCATTTCTGCTTGCCAACTTGTTCAGGGAGAATTTCCTCTGACGATTGAGAGCGTCTCAGGGGTGTTGTTAAAGAGTCGAGTAGTTTATTAATTGAGCTTAAAAATTAATTGGCGCCTGACGGCGAAATTTATTAACTTAAATTTCATATTATTATTATTGTTGAAAGCGTCGGATTTTGCCTGACGTAAGCAGAACTTTTAGCTTAAAATAAAATTAGTTAAAATCATACGTCACAAAATTTGGCGCCCAACGTGGGGCCAGTCCAGAACCGAGACACGACGAAAATTATTTATTGTGCCAGACTGAAAGTGATTTTATTGAGCCGAATTGTATGGTGAGCCGAAATAAAAATTCAGAAGAGTCTGAACAAAATTATTTTGCCAATTTGTTGTACAAGTGTGAGCCAGAGTTCTAAATTCTCCATTTGCCAAAGCCGACATTTTCTTGTCAATAGCCGAGAGTTTAGAAGTTAATAGCCAGAAGCCGAAATTTTTGAATTTTCAATTTTCCAGAGCCAGATAGATTTTTTTTTTGCTAAGAAAATTCAAAAATTCATGTTGTCAGAATTTTAAATTTTTTGTTGCTAACGCCAGACATACAAATTGTATGTTACTAGCTAACAGAAAATTCAAAATTCATTTGCCAGATTGTTTGCCGAATTTATTTTGCCAGTGCCAGAATTTATTTATTCATAAATTGTGAGTAAATTATTGCCAAAAATTGTGTAAAATAAAATTGTAGAGTGCCTTTGCCATTAAATTTTAAAATTTCTTTTTCTTTTGAGACTGTAAAAATTTCCTGCCGTGATAAGAAAAATTGAAATCAACAATTAAAAAGTTTTTTTTGTTTTGCCGAAAGCCAGTTTCGTGAGAAAATCCCGAGAAAAATTCCCAACAAACTTGTGCAAAATAAAAAAATTTTCTGAAAAATTTTATGCCGAGCACATGTTAGACCGGAAATAAAATTCGAGTTAGTCACGTGACTGCAAATAGTTCGCCGGACGGTCGAGAGAATCGACGAGCCGGGATATTTAAAATTTCGGCAGTCAAGAAAAAGCTTGCACGTGCCAGGAAAAGTGGCCCAGTAGTAGTAGTAATAGCGGCTGCATATAGAGAACGAGAAGAAGAGATAGAGGGATAGTCGAGTCACCAGTCTGCCAGAAAAGGAAAAATTTTAAAAGGGGGGCCCTCCTTGAGTAGGTACGTCGTTGCTTTCAAGACAGCACAGGGCCGTGTATACTAATTGTGCACCCCCCTAAAAATTTAAAATTATTCGAACTTAGAAATTTTTTTGATTCTTTGAAATGGAAAAGGCAATTAGCGACATGAAGGAATACAAGAGACGCATGAGCGAATTAATTGAAGTACCATGCGTAAGCCGAGCATGGGAAACAATTAAAGTCATGCAAATTGATCAAGTAGTGACGAACTTATTGCGACACCAATTGTGTATCAGTGGTTCGCCACAAGTTTTGAGAGAGAGATTGTTAAGAACCGAGCTGAGATTAGCCCAAATCGACGGTGGCGACGTGCCATTTAGTGACAGATATGATCTCGGAAATTCCGATAAAATCTTTCTGGTCGAAGCCTTCCCAGAGCCAGAAATTGATAAATTTCCATTTGTCAATTATCGTAGAGGTGGTCAGATGTCATCGGCAGATGACGAGGAATCGGACAGTGGGGCGAGCCAGAATTTTGAGCGTATTTGTGACAGGAAAACTCTCGGGAGTGGGGGAAGTAAATCGGAAATTGGAACACCGTACAGTAGACCTAGTCCGACCAACGTTATGTCCACACCAAATTACACACCCCTACCACCAGTCATGTCAACAGCCAGTATGACGACAGTTTCTCCCACCACTACCAGTGCTCAATTTAGTATGACAACGAGCACTGTCATGACATCGCCTCGCACCATCACCTCAGCCACAATGGCTCCGAATGTCCAGAGCCTTCGAGATTCAGTCGCGCGTTTAGGTTTGTCGCCAGAAATAAGGAAGATTATGGAGTACGCCGAGAAAATGGATCGCCAGTATTCTATGGGAGGGTGGGAGTTACAGCAAAGCCAATGTAGGGCCGAAATTGCGGATGGGTACCAATTGACCCACCACCTACAATCGCGTATAGTGTCCCCACATGCCAAAACTCCAGTAGCCGAGACCTCACACTCACATCATACTAATGATAGAGTGAGGCCCACACCCGCCCCTAGAAGCCAGTCAAGCCGAAGTGGTGGGAATGAAGACAGTGTAACGCAACAAAGAGTGCCACGAAATGGAGAGCCGATAGGAGAGCCAGTAAGAAGAGAGACTGAGAGAAGTGTGTGTAGTAGAGGGGGAAGAAAAAGAGATCATGTTAGGAAATTGGGTAAGATTAGAGAAGAAGGACAGAGAAAAAGGGAGAGAGAAACCAGACTGAATAGAGGAAGAGAGGACGAGAGCAATGAAGGAAGTAGTGACAGCGAGAGACTTAGCGTTAGTGATAGAGTGAGTAGAGAGTGCCAAAGAGAGAACAAGAGGGTCGATAGACCGAAGAGAAATGAGTGGGAAAGCCGGAGATCAATCTTAGATGACTCTACGAGTGAGTCAGAATCTGAGAGTGATCTGAGTCAATGCCAGAGTAGTAGGGGGAAAAACAAAGAAATTAAGTCCGGCCGAAGGTCCAAGGTGATTAAAACACTAAAGGACTGGGACTTAAAATTCTTTGGTGATGACGACAGTGCCGAAGAATTCTTGGAGCGCTTGGAAGACTGTAAGCCTTGGTCGGAATTTTCTGATCAAGGAATATTGCAAGCACTGCCAATCATCTTGCAGAAAAGTGCCAGTAGTTGGTTCAGATGTCTCCGCCAAGAGATAAGGTCGTGGAAATCATTCAAGAGGGCGTTCAAGAATGAATATCTGGTGACGGTAGACGACGATGACGTGATTGACGAGTTGAGGGCCAGGACGCAAGGGAAAGGAGAGAAAATATCTCCATACTTGACCAGCTTCAGGTTAATCTTAGGACACATGAAGCGCCCCCTTGACAAGAAACAACAAGTGAAAAACGCCTACAAAGGACTTACGCCGGAATATAGACGACAGTTGGACCGTTTATATTTCGATTCTCTCAGTCAGATGGAGAAAATTCTACGAAACTTCGAAAAGGCCAAAGATCTAGACGAGAGGTATACCCCCCCTCCACCAAAGGAGAAGATGCGTTTTCCTGCAGCAGCCGTGAAGGAAAGCAGATTCAAGAAAGTCCCGAGAGAAGAAATAGTGACGTCAGAGGAGGAGTCAGAGTCGAGTGGTAGTGACCACTCTACCAAGGAAAGTAAAGAGACGAACGAGGCCAAGATAAAAGAGAAGCCAGAAAGTGTATGTGTAGACGCCATGACACTTATGACAGCTGCCAAAAATCAGCAGAGCAGAGCCAAGTAGTCAGTTCACCCCCACCACAAATCTTGCCAGGACCTATGCAAGTTGCATACCCAGCCATGTATGCAGGAATTGTGTCAGGAGGAGCCAAACCAGTTGGTTTGCCAAATGTAGAACAAAATTGTTCACAAGCGGCAACAAAGCAATTTATGGGAGTTTGCTTTCAGTGTCAGTCTATAGGACATCGGGCCAGAGATTGTCCCAGGAGGATCTGTTTCCAATGTCAGCAACATGGACATTATGCCAAACAATGTCCCCTGAGGCAAGCCCAAGTGGAGTCATGCCTAGTGTGCAAAACACAAGGAGTAAACTTTTTGAGCTGCCAGAATTGTGTGGCAATACGGAGAGTCTTAGAAAGCAGTGCCTGGAGGGCATAGAGACGCCTTGTACACTTGGGCTACGACAGCGAGAGAAGAAGAGCCGAGAAAGAGAACTGTGTGAGAAGAGTGCCAGAACCGACCAAGTAAAAAGAGCCAGCCATTGACATCGGACAGTAGTTAGTCATTGGTAATGACGGTCCTACTGGGAGTAGTACCGGTCATGGGGAGGGGATTGTGACGATGTGAATTGTCGTTCTTTATTTTGTCGAAATTCTGAATCGTCATGTCATCTGTCGGAATTATCCCTGAACCGTGATCGTTAATTGGTATGGTAATTTAGAAAGTCGGAACTGCCGTGTGACCCACTATCAGTGGTGAATGTGTGTCGCGCGGCTAGTTAGTAGGAGAGAAAGTGCTAGAGGGCAGAGCCGCTGATGGTTAGAAAAAGACAGAGAGAGGAGAGCCAGTGGAACGAGAGAGAAGAAGAGTTGAAGAAGACGAGCACGTGTGGAGAAAAGCCAGAAACAGGTGTCATTAGTTTTCGCCGACATTTTGGCAGTCAGTTGATCTACGACGTGTGTAGTCAGTTGTTCTATGAGATGTGTAGAGAGAAAGCGCGTAATAGTTTTGTAAAGTTTTGAGTGTTGTGAGAAAAAGGGAGTTTTTGTGTCGAGTAAAGAACAAATAAAGAGTGTAAATAATAGTGAAGTTGTTTTCTTTGGATTATTCCTCATTTATCCCTGAGGAAAACAGCCGCTGAGAAGCCAGTGAAAGAGAGATTGAGAAACATCGCTGGGTGAGTCAGTATCGAGCCAGTGTTGTGCCAGTCGTGTCTCGTCGTTGGCATTTCTGCTTGCCAACTTGTTCAGGCAGAATTTCCTCTGACGATTGAGAGCGTCTCAGGGGTGTTGTTGTTTGTCGGGTTGTTGTTAAAGAGTCGAGTAGTTTATTAATTGAGCTTAAAAATTAATTGGCGCCTGACGGCGAAATTTATTAACTTAAATTTCATATTATTATTATTGTTGAAAGTGTCGGATTTTGCCTGACGTAAGCAGAACTTTTAGCTTAAAATAAAATTAGTTAAAATCATACGTCACAATGCTTTGAGTATTTTATTTCGTTGTTAGAGAAAATGTGAAACCTTTTTTTAGATACTTTGTACTGGTTTTTCATACTAGACTTAAAAACAACTCGCATCTGAATAACTTCCCAGAAAAACAATATAAATTCACATTACAGTTTTTAATTTCGTGTCATTAGACTTTAAATTTTTTATATTTTCAAAGATTATTTATAATAAAGTCCCTTAAAATTTTTTGTCTACTTTCTCTATTTTTTGCTTCAAGTAACTCAATAAAATATCATTCAACCATTAACTTTTAAAAAAATCAAAATTGATTTTCTATCTTACAGGTGTTCTAGACTTAAAGCAGCTCTTATCCCAATAACTTTCTAGAATTACATTATAATCTTTCATTTTGTTATTCTCGAAATGATATTTTTGACATTCTGAACTTTAAAATTCTGTAACTATCATTTTTACACCAAATTGGAATTAAGACTTTTTAAAATATATATATACACGGAAAAAATTAGTCGAGGAAATCCTCGACTTTGTAGAAGACTCGATTTTAAAAATTACATTCACAGTTTTTGAAGAAATAGACATGAAACTATAGAACTATAGAACTATAGTTCAAGAAACTTTTCGCGGCAGTCGAGGAAAATTACAAACCTGAATTTACTCTACAGTGTTGTATTTTTTTCATTGACAGTGGCGGAAATTATTAAAAAAATTTCAATGTATATGTCGTAGGCAAGTAGAAGAATCCGTCATTTAGCTAAACGCCTAGGCAGTTAGCTAATTGCCTGATCCCTTCAGGCCTAGGCGTTTAGCTAAATGACGGAATCTTCTATTTGCCTACGACATATATATTAATATCGACACAATGAACAATAAAAATAATAATGTTTTGAAGTCTTGTTAATTAATTGTCTTAAATTGTACATTGCAAAAAGTTAAAGAAACGGTGTTTATTGTTTTAACGCGCGAACCTTTTGTGCGCACCATTTTCCTCGACTCGTCGACAATACCTTCTATAAAATGTTACAATAAATAATACAAAATAAATAAAATAATAATACAATAAAAGTCATTAATTGACATAATATTCCGTTGCTACACATGATCTAAATCAGTTTTAAATAATCTAATATGACCACCATACCATTAATATAAGTTAACTTAACCTATAAACTCTATTCTTTAATCAATTTCTGAAATTGACTAAGTAATTCGCGAAATGACGAAGCCTTTTTAGGCAAATTGACAATTTGACTAAAACGGCCCCGGCATTTCGCGAATCGCCTAGTCAATTCGAGAACTGCCTGTAAATCTCTGGGAAATTCGGGTATTTCCTAAAATCTTAGGCATTTCGGGAAATGTCTGGTCTTCGGGTTTTGCCGGTAACACATACAATGAAATTACTAAATTTTCATGAGGACGTCCTCAAATAATGATTTAAAGAACTACTTTTAATAATATTGTTATACTTATATTTTATTAAATATATACTACAATTACTTTGTCTTTGATAAAGAATTTGCATCAAAACTTGGTTTAAAGAATATAATAAGTATAGATGTATATTTTTTACTAAATCTACGTGCGTATTTATGACATGGCAGATGATGCCATATCATTGGAGCAGATAATGAAATTCAACATTCCAAGGTAGACTTTACCGATGTTAACGATTGTACTGAGGTCGACTCGATAACGAAAGTCAGAACCGAAAATCAGTACCGCATCGACATTGGATATTAATACAGGACAGACATAATATCGATACAAATACCTCGTACTAGTTTTCGACATTAAATTAACATTTGATCTATACTTAATTAAAGTTGGAAATCCAACACTGATTTATCGACATCAAATCACTATTGGATCAGTACTTGATTAATATTGCCTACTTTGTACTGGTTCAACGTCGATATAGCATCAAAACTTTCCTAACAATTTATTAAATATTTACTTACAATATTCAGAATATTTAATTGCAATGTTTATTGAAAGTTGTGTAAAGATTTAAATGTCCCGATTGATGCAGGTCCCCAAACTTTGCATCTAGCATTTTTAATACAATTTAAACAATAGCAAATACTTTTTAGCCTAATTGCAATCTAAAACATTTCTTACTTTATTTATTAGTTAGTTGATAAGAGAATTTAATATTTAACAAATATATTTTTAGCTTATAACTCCGATTTGATCCAGCTCCCCAAACTATGCATCTAGCTTTTTTAATACAATTTAAACATTAGCAAATACTTTTTAGCTAATTTGCAATCTATATCATTTCTTACTTTATTTATTAGTTATTTGATAGGAGGGTTCAAATATTTTACAAAAATATATTTGTAGATTAAAGACTCTAATTTGATGCAGGTCCCCAAAGTATGCATTTAAGTCTTTTAATACAATTTAAACAATAGCAAATACTTTTTTGCTAAATAGCAAACTATATCATTTCATACTTTATTTATTAGTCAGTTGATGACAGGGTTTAAATGTTTATCTAAGATATTTTTAGCTTAAAAACTCTGATTTGATGGAGGTCCCCAAACTGTGCATCTAAGTTTATTAATAAAATTTGAACTTTAGCAAATACTTTTTAGCTTAATTGCAATCTATCACATTTCTTACTTTATTTATTAGTTAGTTAATAAAAGGGTTCAAATATTTAACAAATATTTTCTTCGCTTAAAAACTCTGATTTGATGCAGGTCCCCAAACTATGCATCTAAGTTTATTAATAAAATTTGAACTTTAGCAAATACTTTTTAGCTTAATTGCAATCTAAAACATTTCTTACTTTATTTATTAGTTAGTTGATAAGAGAATTTAAATATTTAACAAATATATTTTCAGCTTATAACTCTGATTTAATGCAGGTCCCCAAACTATGCATCTAAGTCTTTTAATACAATTTAAACAATAGCAAATACTTTTTTGCTAAATAGCAATCTATATCATTTCTTACTTTATTTATTAGTCAGTTGATGACAGGGTTTAAATGTCTATCTAAGATATTTTCAGCTTAAAAACTCTGATTTGATGCAGGTCCGCAAACTATGCATCTAAGTTTATTAATAAAATTTGAACTTTAGCAAATACTTTTTAGCTAATTTTCAGTCTATAACATTTCTTACTTTATTTATTAGATAGTTGATAAGAGGGTTCAAATATTTAACAAATATATTCTTCGCTTAAAAACTCCGATTTGATGCAGGTCTCCAAACTATGCATCTAAGTTTATTAATAAAATTTAAACAATAGCAAATACTTTTTAGCTAATTTGCAATCTATAACATTTCTTACTTTATTTATTAGTTAGTTGATAAGAGGCTTCAAATATTTAACAAATATATTCTTCGCTTAAAAACTCCGATTTGATGCAGGTCCCTAAACTATGCATCTAAGTTTATTAATAAAATTTGAACTTTAGCAAATACTTTTCAGCTAATTTGCAATCTATAACATTTCTTACTTTATTTATTAGTTAGTTGATAAGAGAGTTTAAAAATATAGCAAATATATTTCTATCTTAAAAACTCTTATTTGATGCAGGTCCCTAAACTATGCATCTAAGTTTATTAATAAAATTTGAACTTTAGCAAATACTTTTCAGCTAATTTGCAATCTATAACATTTCTTACTTTATTTATTAGTTAGTTGATAAGAGAGTTTAAAAATATAGCAAATATATTTCTATCTTAAAAACTCTTATTTGATGCAGGTGCCTAAACTATGCATCTAGCTTTTTTAATACAATTTAAACATTAGCAAATACTTTTTAGCTTAATTGCAATCTATAACATTTCTTACTTTATTTATTAGTTAGTTGATAAAAGGGTTCAAATATTTAACAAATATATTCCTTGCTTAAAAACTCCGATTTGATGCAGGTCCCTAAACTATGCATCTAAGTTTTTTAATACAATTTAAACAGTAGCAAATAATTTTTTGGTAAATAGCAATCTATATCATT